CCTTCGCCCTGCTGACTTGCTACTTTACTCATGGGACGGGGGCCTTGACGTTTGCGTTGATTTGACTGGTTCTTCGCCCTTGACCCAGTCCGGGATGTCTGACTTCGTTCCAGGACGTGTTGTGGTTGATGCCGCTCATCGAAAACGTGCGAAATACTACGCCTTGTGTGCAACTAAGGGTTATGGATTTCTTCCATTCTCTTTCTCTTCATTAGGGGAGTTGCACACGGAGGCCATTGCCCTACTCAAGAGGATACAGAAGTATTCTGTATCTCAGGACGTGGGGGCGCGTGCTGCTCCTCATATTTTCACTCGTATTAGCTTTTCCATTGCAAAAGGAGTGGGGGCCCAGATAGTATCTCGGCTCCCCTCCAATTTCTTGTAATTATTTTGATCCGATTTATAATAATAATAATAATAATAATAATAATAATAATAATAATAATAATTACACGGAGGCCATCGCCCTACTCAAGAGGATACAGAAGTATTCTGTATCTCAGGATGCGGGTGTACGTGCCGCTCCTCATATTTTCACTCGTATTAGCTTTTCCATTGCTAAAGGAGTGGGGGCCCAGATAGTATCTCGGCTCCCCTCCAATTTCTTGTAATCACTTTGATTTCATAATAATAATAATAATAAAAATAATAATAATAATAATCACATTATCAAATAATAAGAGCAATAAAGAGGACAACTATTAATAAGGAAAAATAAATTATAACTCCAAAATCCACAATCGAATGAGGTATTACAGTCTATCCACCTTACAAAGAATTATGTCCTCGGAATTCGAAAACAAAACTAGACAACAATAAAATACAAAGGGAACTCAGAACAAAAAGTTCGGATATCACCTCATAATATCTTCCTCCTTCTCCCAAGTTGCCTCGAACTCATCGTGTCGGCTCCACCGCACCTTCACCAAACTCACTGCCCGGTTCCTCAACTGATGGACCTTCCTGTCCAAAATGGTTGTCGGTACCTCCTCATAGGTAAGGTCTCACTCGACCTGCAGCTCGCCGAAGTCCACCACATGATGAGGATCATGCACATATCTCCGAAGCATCGAGACATGAAATACATCGTGCACTCCCGACAAGTCCGGTGGTAAAGCCAACCAATACGCCAAGTCCCCGACTCGAGCTAGGATCTCAAACGGCCCGATATAGCAAGGTTTAAGTTTCCCCTTTTTCTCGAAGCGAATCATACCTCTCATGGGTGCAACCTTCAAGAAGACATGATCTCCAACTGCATACACATGCTCATGCCTCTTCCGGTCGGCATAGACCTTCTGCCTCTCCTGGGCAGCCCTAATGGTCTTCCGGATCTCCTCAACTGTCGCAGCAGTACTCTGAACAAACTCCGGACCCATGATCGTCCTCTCTCCGACCTCATCCCAATACAAAGGAGTCCGGACCTTCCGTCCATACAACGCCTCATACGGGGCC